GCCTTGTGCTTTTTGCCGCCGTGCTCCTGGCAGGAGTTACCACCATCCTCCTTTTTGCTGCTGCTTCCCTCTTCGGTGGATAGAGACTTCCTCTGGGACTCCTGAAAGAACCACTTTTTCTTCTGGAAATGGCTACAATCTTCAGGCAGCTCGGGTTTTAGCGCTCGTTCCTTCAGCAGAAAGAGAGGGTTTGCATTTTTTGCGCCTGTGTCTTTTCCGTTTTTTGGGTTTCTCTTCTCCCAGGTCAGTTTTTCGGCCCTTCTCGTCAGCTTCCTCCTTGTGTTTACGTTTGTGTCTGCTGGACTTTTTATGCTTCTTTTTCTTTTTGTGTTTATGGGATCTCCCAGGTCTATTCTTACTGGTCACGCTTTTACTACTGTCCTCTCCCTCTCCCTTACCGATGCTCGTCAAACTGGGCTCCTGCTTGTTCTGGGAGCTACAGGTGGGCAGAGATTTGTTTTCCGTTTTTAGAGCAGAACTGTTAGCTACGCTTTCTGCGTCCTTGGGTTTGCTCATCTCCCCAGATTCCGCGCTCGGAACGTTTTCTTTACAAAGACCCCCCGCGTCCTTCGATTTCTCCGCCCCTTTACCTTTAGCGTCTTTGTTGCGAGAGAGCTTGAAATCGAAATACAGGGGGTTACAGCTGTAGGAAACGGAGGGCTCTGCTTTGGTAAATATGAGAAGCTCTGAAGGCCACTGGAGAGTCGTGCTCTCATCCTTGCTCAGAACGGGAATAAAAGGCCCTGTCGGATGCTTTGGTCCTTCGGTGACATCTTTACAGCTCGGGACAGGCTGAGTGACTTCTTTAGCAGTGTCTGGCTCGGGGAGGCTGCTCTCCGTAAGCTGCTTGTTCTCCTGCATACTCGCATTTTCAGGGACTTCTTTGAGTTCTGTTTTGCTCTGCTGAGCTGCCATTTCAGTAGTACTCTGCTCCTTCTGCTGCCCCGCGCTCTCGGCAGCCTTCTCCGTGTGCTTGCCGCCTTTGGGTTTCGGAGAATTGCCCTTTTTAACCTCACGAGCGTTTTTTTTGTTCACATTTTCAGCTTCCATTTGTTCGGTAGACTTCATGAAAAGTAGGAATTGAAAATTAGGCTTTACTTTACAATGGGCTGGGGGAATATAGTGGTAGTATTCTGGTTCAACTGCCATTGGTCCGTCTTCTCGTCTCATCTTTTTTAGTTTAGATAACGTAGTGGCTAGAGACCCGCTGTCTTTGTCGTGCTGGTCGTCTTCCTCCGCCTTGCCGTCGGAATTGTTGGTGCTTTCGCCCTCGCCAGATTTCTGCAGGCTCCCTGCATCTGAGGACCCTCTCTCATCAGCTTTCGCTCCATCTCCAGAACTTGATTCTTCCACGTGGTCCTTGAAAACAGAAGCTATGGTCTCAAGCTTTACCGGAGTCTTCTTGGCAAACGAAAACGACACACCTATCTTCTGCAGCGGCGTTCCCAAAGTACTCTTAATGCCAAAGCTGATTGCTTGCGCCGTCTGCATGGGCATTTGGCTTGGCATAACAGTGCCACCGACTTGTCCAGTGTTTAGGAAACCTCGGTCCATAGTCATGTCTGTAGCTTGGCCAGAAGTCGTCTGGATGAAAGAACCACTGTTGGCTGCAGAATCATCATCATCTCCACCTTCCTCATCCACAGCCACCGTAGTGGTTCTGAACATGGGTCCGCTTCCAGGAGCGCTGTATGAACAAGTTAAAATAGAGAAAAAAAGAGAGAAAAAAAGAAAACGGCATTTGTATACCTCTGCTGTTGGTTTCATGCCTGATCTAAACCAATCTTTTACCCATTTCACATACTCTTGTATCCAGAAACATGCATTAAAACAGCATTATACAGCCATTAGAATTTTTTAACAATATTAAGTAACAGAAGAAAACTACTCTTGCTGGATAAAGCCATTTGGGGATGCTCTGGACTACCGGTTTAGTGAATTCACTCCTACCAAAACCACAGCATGAGGCCAAACCTAAGCATGAAGCTTTGCCCTCAAAACATCGGCAGGATTACAGGAGCAAGAACGCCAGCGCAGCAGAGGCCGCGGTCCCACGCAGGACTCCGGCACACGCGTTCCGAGGCTGCCCTGGGATCACCCCTACTCACCATTCAGGCTGTCTCCTCTGTTCAGCCAGCTCATGGAGGCGCCGGAGGGCTTTCTCCTGCTTCCTTTCATCTTTACGGGATCTTGAAGAGACATTGCGAGCAAATTCCCTTTGCTTGAGATCTTTCAACCTCTGAGGCAAAAGAAAGCAGTAATGGATCAGATCAAGCGTTTGTGGTTAAGCGTCCGAACGCGTCTCTTTGCCGTAGCACCGGCGAGTACGCTGTAAAGCCCCTCCCCAGGAACATTTATTGAGCCAGGATGGAGCAACAGCATCTTAGCTCAACAAACCAAACGGAGCACATCGCCATCCTCCCAGTCGCTAAGCGAAAAGACAACTGTTGATCACTTTTGGCTATGGCTTCCAGTCTGTGTATACATTTCCAATCAACGTTACTGGTTTTCTTTAGCATGTACAATAAAGCTGATTTCAAAGCAACAAGCAAATTCTGGAAGGAAAAGGGGGGAAAAAAAAAAAAAAGACTGTTTACTTGGCTGCTCTTGCAAGGTGTAAATGTACTTGACGAACAGTGCACGACAGAAGTCTTAATAGCATGGGCCAAAGAACAGAAAGGGATTAGCTGGTGCAAGAGTTACCCAGGTATTATATCTTACAAAAGCAATGTACAAATTACATTGGAGGAGGTGCCAAAAATCCCACACAAAGTATTCCAGTAAGCAAATAAATAATACAACATACACCACAAAGAGTTACTTGCGTTCCTGACAGTAGTTCTGAGACGGTCTCTCAAGAAACAAAATGCTCTGAAATGCAGAGGGGTCTTTTGGGGTTTAGTACTTTAGAAGGCAGGGATACTAAGTTCCCCAGAAATCTCATCACATGAGGAGGCAAACCCAAACCCGAGGAATTTCAAACATCATAACGTCACTGAGGAAATCTAGATATTCGATTCTAAAAGAAATCAAACATCTGAGACTTCGGAAAATTTTGGGAGTCCTTGTCTCAAAGCACTAGGAAAAGAGGCTGCAGCTTTTCCTTTGAATATATGTGAAAATTCACAAGGCATTTTATATTTATACAGAAGTTTAAGTAACAGAAAGCAGCAAAGACAGACTTCTATCATCCTAAGGGACTAATTTTTCTCTTCTGGTGCACAATTTGAAACTCCTTCAGGAGGCCAAATTCCAGAAAGCATCACGTACCCAGCTTTTGAGAGAGTTTCATGTTTTTCAGGCACTTCATGAAGCGTCTGAAAGACTAACGGTGCTCAAAGCAGCAGTCACTTAGAAAAATCCTCACACTAGATGTACAAATCATCAGTGAATTCTAAATATACCTTCTGGCTGGCTGAGTCTGCCTCTCTACTGGAGGAGAGTCAGACCAGTACACCCAGAAACAGTGGATCTGCAAACTAACCTAAAGCTCCAATTAGAGGAATTCAGTGGGCCCAATGTAAAGAGAACATTGCTTTGTGAAATAGGGGGAGGTTTGACAAGACAGAGGATTCTCTTACCTAAGCAGATTTACTAAACGTGGTTGAGCGTTACCAAAGTCAGAGGGGAGGACACACACAAAAAAAAAATACAGCTACAGACACTAGTCAAAAGAAACTCACTCTTGTGATCTGGACTCCAAAATTAGAAGGGTTTGCTTTCAATACATCAGCTGAAAACGTCACATCACAAAGAAAAAAAGAAAGTAAAAATATAACAAGAGTGGAAGAGAGAGGGGAAAAAAAAAAAAAAGCATTACTACACAGGTTCTCGGGGGGTCTATTCTACGGAGAAGGAGCCGAGCCAGCAAAGCTACGGGACGGAGTTTGGGGAGTCTGGAGCAGAAAAGGGGGAAGGCACAAACACAGGCACAGCCATGATCCCACCTGGAACAACAGAGCTACTTTCACCAGGACAAGTAAAGGGCTCAAGGGTTTTGTGGTGTATGTTTACATGTTGAATAGTAATTTATTTTTTTTTCTAAGAGGGGAAAAAAGAAAACAACAAAAAAAAAGGACTAAGCAATGCTATCAGCTTTTTCATGCTGATTTAAAAAGCGTATCTGAACTGCTCCAGGAAGTTAAAGTCACCAACAGCTGACAAAACTATTTAACTGGGGTTTGATGCCAAGTCTCTAGATCACTCATTTGGAAAAAAATATGACCCAGCTATTTCCAACAGAAATGAACTGTGACCTTTTGAAGAGGAAGGTGCAATGGAGCACTCAGAAACCCACCTCCACCCCCCCAGACATGGCCTTAAACGTCTCCCCGTGACATAAAACAGGCTCAAAGCCAGCTGACAACGACGCAGCTGCCCACGGTGCCGTCCTGCCTTCATCACCACGGACCATTTTAATGGGAACAGAACAAAACACCCAGTTCCTCAACGCTGACCTTTCTCTGTCTCCGCTCCCCTAAACCTCCCACTCTCTTATTATGCAACGCTGGTAAATTAGAAGTAACGAAGCAAATGAACTATCCTGACACACCACAGTGCCCAGCCACGCCGACACCGGTGCCTTTTGAAGATGCTAAACCACTGACCGTGGTTTCAAGACTGCTGAGAACTCATTACTCCCCAAACTGGGGGGAAGTTTGTCTGATTGTACAAAGCTGACTTCAGAAAGGACTAAAAGATCTCAAGGCTGAGTTTCTTTTTGCAGCACAGGGGTCAGGAGGAAGAAGGGTCTTGCTGGGTAAGTTTAGGACAGAAAAGCTCCACCGTTGTACCATGACATCTCCTTGGGAATATAAAATACGGACCGTAACGTAGCTCAGCATCTTTGCCTGACCTGAAACGATGCGTCTATCATCAGAAATGATTTCTCAAGTTTGCAAGGAGCCAAGTTCCAAGAAACTCGGCTGGCCTGCGCTGTCTTACATAAATGCAACCAGGGGAAGGGGAAGGAGGAACGACAGGAGACCGGGTTGCTCATCTGTAAAAACAAATCGCCGCAGGAATAGATGGAGGCGGCTGCGTTTGCAGGCAGCGGATCAGCACCCAACTTTTAAAGCAGCCAGAACTTATCCAGCGATTTATCCACGCAAAGAACAGTGGGTAACCAGTTAACTACTGGTGGTAGTAGTTAACTATACCTAGTAGTACTAGTGAGCTATACCTACCCTCCTCCCCCAAAACTGACTGAGATGAAGCAGTTGAAAGCCTCAAGCACTGCAGTAAAAGGAGTGCATCAAAGCAACGAGGAGTGTATTCCAGCATACTCCAGGTCTCAGCCTTCCCAGAAACCTATTTGAATTAAATTGATACTTAAGCTAGGCTTACACTAAAGAAATGTCCAACTAAATCCTTAGGCAAGCGTTCATTATTCTAATCCCCTAAAATCTCTAAATTACTTTTCGGACCGCACCATATGTGTGGGTGTTCGCAGAGGCTGGACAGCTGCGGGAGGCGAGTGGCACAGCTGCCCTCTTGCCCCCAACACAGCAAAGAAATTTAAACAAGAATTTAAGGCAGCCACGCAGTCATCCTCAGGGAGCTTCTCCCCACCAACTAAAGAAAAGGGGCCCTGGGAACCCATCTTCTTGGGGTGAAACCAGCCACCTTTAGTCTTCCCACAGCACTCAGCACGGCTATAATTTCTTCAACAGCATCAGGGCCACCAAGCTGTATTAAATCACACACACAGCTTCATGCTACTACAGGATTTAAAAATTAGGAAGCGTTTTTTCCTCGACAGGCAGTGTGCTTTCTGAGGAAGCAGAATGCTTTTCTAAGCAGCAACGCATTTACAAACCTCAGGACGATGGTGACCATGAAGCCAAGAAATAATATGCTGCTGGTTTATTACTTCGGCCGTATCGGTGAGCCCAGTGACCAGCAAACGGGGACACAAATCACTAGCACCCAAGTAAAGTTTGTCCAAATTTCTGCAGGCTAGAAGCAGTAATTCCTTACCTCAAGCCTTCCTTCAGCTCGGTATTGTGTTTTATTAATAGCTGCCACCCACCTCAGCCTTGCAACAAAGAAAAGTATTTTAGGTTTTGAGCCTCCTTTCTAACAAAATCACTAAGAAGCCTCACAATTTCAATGGGAGTGCAAATTGAGCTCTTGGAGAACAGGTTTTACAGAAAATCAGTACTCCAGCACGATGAGAGCTACAGTAACGGATTATCTCCCAGTCACTGCAGAGCCCAGGAGGGGCCAAGCTGGCATACGATGCCAACACCTTACAGTTCTCTTCAAATCGGCTTAAATAAGCTGCACTCCAGCATCACACAAAAGCTCTGAAGATGGTCCATCACGGACACGTGAGGGTGGTTCAGAGGGGGACGATCAGGATTCAGAAACTGCCGTAACAGGAAAAAAATCCAGCACACGCTGTGGCAACCGCACATGAGATTTTGCTGGTGAGATGGTATCGAGGCAAGACGTCCCCAGTGCCAATCTGGGAGTGCATTGCTTTTTTGGGTTCATGACCAGCATTAAATGGATTTTTCTCAATTTAAGTTGACAAAGCCACAGAATGCTGCTGAACTGAGAGGCATTCTTTGCCTAAAATTGCAGAGCAAAGAGAGATCATGTCATTCTCAGAATAAAAAGCAGCACTCCGCCACACTGCTTTACTAGACCTGAAGATTTGAGGCTTTCATGACAAACCTGATATTTAGGAGGGAGGGATAGACTGGACCCATGTGCAGCCAGATCTCCACGTTGGCTTGAGACCAGAGGCAGCTCATGGGACAGCACAATCCCATTAGAGCCTACTCCTCCCCTGCTATTGTTCTCAAGTCTCTCTGCCAATCCCTATTAAATAAAATAATAACGTACTTTTCATTACATGCCAGCAGATTTTTGGCTTTCTGAATTTTTTTTTTTTTTCCTACAAAAGCTTCTGAGAGTGAACTACACCATTAGCTAAATATGAGCTCAAAGGATGGCAACCTCCATAATTTTATATAAGTGAGAACACAAGCCCTGCTTATTTTTGGTAATCAACATTCTTCGCACGCTCGTAAACGAAGTGAAAAGAGCAGAGGGGAAATGGCAGGCCACTGCAGTTTTATTTCATCTTAATTTCTTCCCTGACATCTCATTCTCAACTTAGGAAAATATACCATGTGTTTAAGCAACCCAGATAACCCCACGGCACAAGCCTGCCTGCCCTTCCGGCGGCCGGCATCGCTCGTCATCATGACATCGGGACCTTGCACATCGAACACTTATTTTACTGAACCCTTTCCATGTAACAGTGGCCTTCCCCAAACGTGTCTGCCATCAGCAAACCAGCAGCTGATGTTAAGAAAAATACCCTTTTTTTTTGAGGTTAAAGCATTTCTGGAGTGGAAAAGTCTCTCATGTAACACCAAGTATCTCAGAGATTCTCTCTTCAGTCTTCCACGTTCAGGTTGTGCTTGAGGACACAAGTTTTTGGAAAGCACAAGTCCAACTCTCCCCCAAACCTGAAAATTCAGGGTTTGGATTTAGAGTACTCATCAACCACAGCAGTGACTGTGTCAGTAATTTTATTGCACTTTAACAGATCCCTCCCCCTCAGCATCAGAAGCAAAGATCCAGATAATTGGGGCATGAAGAGAACTGCAGATCTATAGTTGCAGTTCTTAGTTCCACCCTCTTCCCCAAAGAATTTCTTTATGGAAATATATTCCTTTTGTCCTTTCATAAAGAGAATCTATGCAGAATTAATCACCTACACCTCCAAAATGCTTCGAAAAAAAATAAACCAAAAGCAACATAAAAGACTGCATTTCAATCCTGGTTAGTGTTCTCACAGTCAACCTGGCAAGAGTTCACACGGCAACATGTTTGTTTTTCATGTTGAATTCAGAAGGTGAATGTTTTTATGCTGTAAGGGCAGCGACTCAGTAAACAGCTCAATCCTTCATCAGGAAAGAGGTGACCGTATATGAGATCCTGTAAGTTCTTGGATGAGGAAAAAAACCCAAACCAAACAGCAAAAGCTGACTGTAAATGCTACATCACTTGCACATAGGACAACTCCAAGCACAGCAATTTTAGCAAGCTGCTCTGCGACGTGCAATACAGATGAGGTTTATTCGATCCTCAGACAAAACTGGGTACGGTCCCAGAGAAGATGATGCACGTCCATCCTCACGCAAACCTGACATGAAGCATTCTGTCCTGATGTCAAACCCAAAACCGAATGAAGGGCCATGTCTGACGTAACGCCCTAAGGATACGTTCCCACTAAGTCCAGAGCGTTCAAGGACTGTGGGAGCTCTCAAGCATCGGGACATCACACGTGCAAATCTGCAGGGAAGCAGCACAAAAATACACCGGGTCCACCTTGACTGCCCACGGTCCTCGCTAGCTGCAGGAGAAGTTTTCTTTCCACATTTGCCTGTTAATTACTATTAAATCGTTGACAGTCAGGACTGTGCAACATCAGAGGTGGGGGTCCCTCACAAGCTACCAGTCCTTCTAGTTGCCAGGCCCAAGAGCTATAAAAAACCCCATTAAAGAGATCAGTAGCTTTCCATGGTACAAAAAGTTACAACATCCATGGCTACAGCCCTTTTGGAGCTCTCACTGAAGGATCTTTAAGGGAACTGAGTTTATTTTTTTCCTCTTGCGGTGCCAGCTGTATGAACTCAAGTGGCTTTCAGTCCTCAGGCTTCCCTTGAGAGGGACTGACCGTTTGGTGGATAGACAGGGTTACTGTTCTTTAAAAAAAAAAAAACGTAGAGAACAACATTGCACACCTCCAAGAAGATGTTTAAAATACAATGACTTAAACAGGCCAATGGTTTGTGATAATGGATGTATTTTCCCAATTAAGGTGATCCAAAAATGCTGTCTTTTGGATAGAAACTTGGTGTTGAGGTCAAATCAGGCATATCCCAAAGCTATATGAAACCAGTGTAGTCAGGAAATAATAATAATAAAACCTCCCCTTTAATTGTTTGGTGTTGGCAAGTTGGTGGGTCCAAAATTTACCTGGTAGGGATCAATACACTTACCTATCATCCCTGTTTCGCAATAATCCTGAGTTCCTTCCTGGAATACAAGACAGTGTCTTTATAACTCGGGAGCAGAAAGGGATCTGAGGATGGAACATCTATTTACAGGGACGGCCTAGTGCTCACTGAGCCACAGAAGGAACAAGCAAACACTTCGACGTCGTGGGTATGTGTAACTAAAAATACTTAAAAGCAAAAGTGATCCCATGGAAATCTGTTCAACAAGCTAAGAAAAAGGCGAAAACCGAAGCACTGCTGCGTCAAGAATTACCGCAGAGCGGACAAAACATCGCAGATAACATACCAAGCCAGTTTGCTCTCGTTATCTAGGACACTGTCATGTCTCATCTTTCCAAGAAAGCCTACTGATTAGCCTGCTTGTAAGAAAACTTTATGGCTTTCCTCAAAAAAAATCATGTTAGCCTTTATGCAAACTTGCCCTCTTGTCCAAAGAGGCAAAATATGAAGCATCGATGTGCAACGTGTTACGAAAAGCACGGTCTCTTAGGTTTGGTTTTTTGTTTTTTTTTAAACTCCCTTATAATTTAGCACAGACTGGTAGAGACGAGCCTACCTTGAGCAGTACCCAACGACAGAAGGGAGCTAGTGTTACTTATGCAAATTACCTCCATTATTTCCAGGTAGTTTCAAGTTCACTTACTGAACACTGACCCAACAGGGTGACACACATTGCAGCACGACACAAAGCCGGACAAGCGATTTTTCCCCTAAGCAAAGCACGATCGCTTCTGTGTTTAAGGCCCTGTGTAACTGGAAATTAGTGCCGGGTGATGTAGCGAGAGTTTGAAGGCTCATCTTCTCCAAAGCCTGCCTGAAGTTACTGCGATGGATGCCAATGATCCAAAAACATCAGTTCCTTTAAAAATACCAAGCAACTCCCAAATTCTTTCTACCAATGAGAAGATGACACCACCCTGTGCGTTCCCAAGATGTTTTTCTTTCAGGTCACTCTTTTTGCACCCCTACTGATAACTGTTTACACCAGTGAGGGGTAGCTGCTTTCCACAGGTTTGGTTGTTCTTCCACAGCATCTCTAGATGTCAGAAAACCTCTCAGCTTTGCCAACCTCACGTCAGTCACTCTGCTGATCACCCCAGGGTTTTAAACAGGAACTGACATAATCATACTGCATCACCACGCTGGGAGAATGCGACACAAACAGGTCCTTCCACCTCCTGAACAGATGCACCTAATTGCACTCGAGTTTCAACCAAGCTGATGGAAAACTTTCGATGAAGCACACTGCTAGGAGGTATCACGACCGTGCCACCAGCTCGGGCAAAGCAGCCTGTTTTCCCAATACAAAGTACACAAATCAATTTCTGCTCTTAATTCTATTAAACCACAACTCATCACAGTACTCAAACAGAAACTGCCCTGCCATGAGAATTCCTGTTAAGAATTTAGTGAATTCCTTAAGGAATTTACTTTGAACTATGATATCCTATTCTCAATACATAGAGAAGAAAAATAAAATCCTACTCTCTAATGCCATATTCTTGTTTTTAAGCTCTTGCTTCACTGCTATTTTGCAAGATCTAGTACACTACAGCACATCCTCCAGATGTCATCAGCATTTTAACGATTGTATTGCTAGAATTTACGACTAGGTACATCAAAAAAACCTCCTTTGAGTCATTTCATCTCTAGATGAGCACAGCACAGCTATCTGCCATATGTTTACATCTCATTTAGCAGCTTCAAATGGTCAAATACATCAGGCTAACACATGAACTTTTATTATCTACTGTGCAGTATGAAGTATCATGTAGATACTATGGTACCTCCCTACCTTGGGACCAAAGCCAGCTCCACACAGATTCTGAATCCACCTTCTCCTGAGGGTTACAGAACTTGGAAAGCGCTCCTTTTTTATGTTCCTTTGACACAGCCCCTGATTTCCTAGCCTGTTTTCAGTAACTTGACAGAACACAGACTGAAGCATTCGAACGCGCACACGTGGCATATCAGCAGTCTCCAAAGTTGCACTACGTTAAAGGCTGACGCAAACTGGGAGCCATCCATAGCCACGTGTACTCTTCCCAGTGTAACAGCGGCCCATTCCTACATGAGCTCCTTGTTGCCAGCCATGGCTTGGGGTTTTCTATTTGTTTTTCTGGTGTTTTTAAATGCGTGGTGGGCATAAGAATCTTAACCAGTGTCATAAAGCACCTATCCCTGGGGCTACAAGGAAAACAGATACGCTGGGGAAATTCCAAGTATTAACCACAAACGAGACTGCTGCAACGAATGTAAAATTGATGAAGTGTGCTACCAACACTTGTTTACCTGCTTGTGAGCGTGATCGTAAGAGTTGATGTGGTTGTCAAACTCTTGATGCTTTTGGTACTGCTTGTCACAGAGTTCACAGTAGAAGTTTGCTCGGAGGTCTTCCAAAGCCTTGGCAATTGCCTTCTCTTTATCGACATAATCCTGCAAAATTAACAAAAAACCATTTCTGTTAACCTTTCTAAAACAAACTGGAAGATGATGAACTAGGAAAATCTTAGCATACACCAACGATTAAAGCATTTTTATTAAGTCGACCAGTCTTTGCAAATCAAAAGCTGCGAAGGATAACTACTTTGCAGTGCTACCAGCCTAGCCTTGACTCAGCTTCCCAACACAGGGCGTCATCTTGTCATTATCAGGAAAAAGAGACTGCTTAAAAATAAATAATCTAGTGCTGATGGCAGGAAAGCAGTCGTGGCTGCAAGAAAAGAGCCTGTCAGATTGTCGGAGATAAAAAGAGAGGCTCAAAGCCTCAAGCTAATGCACAAACAAACTGGCAGCTGCCTGCTCACGTAAGATGCACAAAATACGCCTCGAATCACGGAAGATCACTGCTTTTGGAAGAGAATTTTAGAACTTTAAACGCTGATACTTCCTCCATTTTGAGTGCTAACAGATGTCTGCTTGATCTCAGTTTGCCTGCAATTCAACGGGGAGGCGCGGATCCGCGGCTGGGAAAGTGCAGTTCAGAAACCCATCAGCCTGATTCACTTCGGGGTGATGTTACAGCCGGTGAAACCTTCCCAGGAGCAACAACTGTCCACGAAGCTGAGCTCAAACACAGTGATTACACTGGGGGCAGGTACAGGTAGCTGGCATTTAACAGAAGAGGGGGAAGGGGATCACCTTAGACGCTGCAGACAGTGTTTTTTTTGTGCATCATTCAATATTTGTATAGATGCGAAACTAAAAAAAGAAAAAACAAAACTAAATTAAACCTCCAAACAAAGGGGAAGTGTCTAAACTGGCAACAGGCAGTTCTCCCCTCTTTTGCTATAAAGAAAAGTAGCAGCTTTTGGATCGGCAGCAGCAAAAAGCTCTGGGACTCTGCGGAAATCCCAGTCCCTCAAGTGGCTGTAAGGGCTGGAAGTCTGAGCTCCTGGCAGTGAGCCCGTGCTGCTCCGCAGCCGAGGAAGACCTGGGGGGGCTCGGAAGCTGGGCAGGGGCACTCTGAAACGCACCTGATGCCAAGACACACATTAATGCCAGGGCTAAGCAGCTTCTTCCTCCAGCCAGGTCGTCTCAATTACAATCCCACTGGCAAAATTAATAAAACATCACCACTCTCCACCAGAAAGCTGGAGAAGGTTTCCATCTTGTGAAGGTAAACACTTACACGGATGCATACTAAAAGAAAAAGCTACAAATGCAGCGTTACAAAACACACTGTACTAACATCAGCATATTCCATACAGCTATTTACCATATGCGTTTCAACTGGAATAAAGAGAAATTAGATAAGGAAAAATAGCCCAACAGTTGAGAAAAAGCACCTAGGAGTGTAGGAGTTTGTCATCAATATGAATTTCTTATGGGAAATTTCTTTGCATTAGCAAGAGGAGCTTGCAAACGTTTAAAAAAGATATACTACTAACGCTTTTTTCTTTTTATTTAAGATCTTGTTCAAGGCACTACGGTTTATCTCCCAGTTACCACATCAAAGTTACATTAGAATAATATTGCTAAGCATGTTTTCTATAATGTAAAATTCATGTAAAAAATAAATCTTAACACCCAAAGAGGGGGGGGAATCTGAAAAATTCTACTGCTAAAAGGTTTATTGTTTTGTTTTTCAATTTAAAGCACTGTTCACCTTCTAAATTTAAAAAAAAAAAAAAAAAATCTATTTTAAGTTTCTGCCTCCATCTATTACCGGAGGCCCTTGTTAAGAACAAGCAAAAAAACATTTTAAAAAATCAACAAAACTATCTAGAGGTTTGAGCCTGAAGCAGGTCTCCAGGAAGACAGGAAAGGAAGACAGAGCAGCGTGAGATCCACAGAACAACATTTAAAGTTCCTCTGAAACGCCGACAAGCTTCCTGCGCCACGCGTAGGGTTTTTCCCCAGAAGCATCCTGTGGCTAAACAATGAAAACGGCACTGGAAGGGTCAGAATCCATCCCAAAGAAGGGAATTAAAGAACATTGCTTGCTGGCTTCTTGGTTGCAGTTATCTGAAATTCCTTTGAGGCTCCCTGAATGGCTAATCAGGATGCGGCCACAGTTGGCAATTACATAATGGGCTCCTGCGGAGCCACGGGGGAAAAAAAAAAAAAAGACGCTTGCAGAGATTTTTCACAGATTAATACAAAAATGCAAGAGCCTAACGATAGAGCACGCTAATAAAAACACATCCGAGCTGGGAGAGACTGCTGCCGCTCCACAGAGTTCCTGAAAAAAATATAAATCTGTGCTGAGTAACGGCAGGGAGACAAAAACGGTCTCGGAGAGCAACGCACGTCCGACTGCGTTGGAACAGACAACTGCAGAAGGCAAGAACTTCCCCATAAATCACGCTGCAGATCGGAGATAAAACAGCATCACCTGCGGCTCGCGCAAGAGCTCCTGCCAACCACTCCGGAATGCAGGAAGATGCCCGGCACCCAGCAGGGGATGGAAACCAACAAAAAGGAGAAATACGAAGGAGAACGTGCACCTGGACGTAGAGGAACTGCTCAGCACCGGCTGCCTGAGCCCGTTTCAGAGCTTAAAGTACACTTGTACTTCAAAGTGTGCCAGAAGAGATCATTAACTGCCTTCAGCTCCGAACTAATAATTAGCTTTAAAATTAATTACAATGGTTTTTATTTTTAAATGAACAAATATACCAGCAATTCACTTAGTGAGCAAGGCAAGGTCTCAACTTGAGGAGGAAAAAAGAAAAAGCTATAAGCTTTTGTAGCTGAATAAACTGCCTGCAGAATTAAGTGTTGAACTGGTGAAATGGAATTTTAGATTTGCCATGGTTATGTTTCATTTTAATGGAATTGAAACTACTTTTCCGTCATCCCTCAAAGAATTAAAATTTATGCAAAACTGGCACTTCATTCTCATGTCTAGGGCTCTTCTTCAACCCCGGTAACTCCTCAAACCTCAGGACAATTAAACACGCAGACTTTCCTAAGCCCTGATGTACTTTACAGGCTGGTAAGCAGAAGAGTGGCTTAAAGGACTAGCAAAGACCATGCCTCCACAGAGAATTCCGTTACAGCTAATCCAAGTGTGCTCCAACATGTCATGCCCAATGCCAACATGATGGTCCATCTTTATCACTAACAAGATAACAGCCTTTGGCTTACAAAAAACCCCACAGGTTTTGCAAATCCTACGGAAATGCAGAACATATGTTTATTTTTTTTTTTAACGCTGCCTGAGAAATTCTTCCAAAGTGATTCTTCCCATCGATTTCTCAAAACTGGAGCCATGTCCTGCCTTTTAGAAGACAGCAGGACTTACGAGACAATATCGCAATGCACTACCTACTGCTTGCTCAGTGCCAACAGAAGATCTACTCCACTTCCAGCTGATAACTGCCCATCCAACGTTTGCATCCGCAGATTTTGCACTGACACCACAGCAGATTCATTGGAAAAATTGGCAGTCCTGGGTCTAGGGAAGGAAACGTTCTGCTTACCCTAGGACTGTTCTTTCCAGAACAGGAGCAAAGCGCACAGACAAAGCCCCGCTGCTACCTTGCGGCTCTTCAGCAGCTAAACAAACATCAAGGTTAATTCCAGGAAGTGAATAACCAGTTCGTTAAAATATAAATAATCTCAACAATGACAAAAAAACCTAAAATACTTAATTCCCACTGCCATTACTGCAGCCTGAGGAGAAGAGCTCTGTCCTATCACAACAAATCCTCTCCCATTCAGCCCACAGGAACTTTGAAGTTAATGTCCTCGTTCCAGTACCTTGTATTTCTGCCTCAGCTCCTCCGTGTCTTCTTTCTCCACCTCCAGTACACGCCTCCGCTCAGTGGCATCTTCGGCGTAGTCAAGCTTTTTTTAAAAATAAATAAATAAATAAATAAAATAAAGAAGAAGAGATGCAATTTGTCCCATAAATACTTAGCACTACTGAGACTGCCAGAACGTGTAATTTAAAAAAGATGAGGTTTGAAACAGAATTTTTGCATGTTGTACTTCACTTTCCCTGTTTTGCCATCCCACGGCATAACCCACACGCTAAACGGTGCGTTAACCCTTCCGAGGCAGAGGCTCCCAGCCTGCCCGTCCGCTGCCAGCAGGACCCTCAGCTCTGCGGACGTGAGATGGCAGAGCCCAGGAATTTTGGGGAGTGTCCAGACCTCAGAACTCAGGTACCCATGGGTAAACAGAGTATGTATTTTGAGGAGGAGTGTTTTCTTATTGTGTTAATTTCCGAGCAAGTTTTTCTCTACCTCTGATGCACAAATTCTCACTTTTAAATTTCTTCCCTATCAACACCCCGAGAGCCATGCAAGAAGTGACCGGGTGCAGGAGTCAGACGAGCTTACCTCCATTTCCATCCGCCCCATGCCCATGACATCGTACTTGACGACGATAGGGATGGGATCTGTCCTCCCTGTAAGAGGAAAACACACAGAGAGGCGGTCAGTGGCCGGTCCATCGCCACAGCTCGCTTTACACATTGGGTTTGGGTGGTTAGAGATCTTGCCTTGGAGTGCAGAGACCAGAAAGCTACAGTGAACCAAACACGAGCCATTCTCACAGCTTACAGTCAAACCTGCTTCTCAGCTCCAAACCAGTTACAGTTCAATGCACCCTGAGTACTGATAAATGGTATTTTCTGAACATTAACCGGTCGTGTAAAATATTCGTGTGGTTAATGTTCAACCCTGCCAAGTCCTAGGGCAGGGCTGTCAACAGGCCTTGAGAAATGAACCTTCCCCCAATGCTTCCACACCAGACAATACACACTCTTCATCTTCTGGTGCCAGTGAAAAAGCTCTTAAACACATTTTACTGCTCTGCCTCATTAATAATTGATTAGGACTTTCCTGTAAAAGATGCGGAAGCCTCCCTCCCGCCAACTTTTGTCCCTTCCCAAGGGAAAGGAAAGCTGACCAAGAAGCGTGGCACAGAAGCCAAGCTTCTTTCATCCAAAACGACCGCCCGGTCCAGGCCAGGTGGCCAAGCACCTGCTTCCCCAGCTCCTGCAGCGAGATGCTCGTGGTGTCATCTGTAAGCTGTGAAAAGGACTAGTTGCGAAGAAAATTGACTTTGAACTAATCAAACTATGCTGGAGATTTTTTTTTTTTTATATGTATATTTTTTTAAAACAACATATCTTTAATCCACTCATAACCAGCCAAACAAAGCAAAATGGGGCAGACAAGCACTTTACTACCACAGCTTTTTTTTTTTAATTATTATTATTATTATTTTTATTTTTACATCACAACTCGCGCTGTTCGTTGTGATGTAAGCCCACTGAAAGAGTACTTACCTTCTCCGGTGCATACCTTGAGTGAAAAAACAGAATGTTTACTTCCCTTGTTATTGCTCTCGGTTTGGTGTAAACAACTGTTTTGTTATACACACATACACATATATTATACCTTTGGGCTAAAAGATCTACAGGTTTGGATCGCGTCAAAAATATTCCACATGCACAAAGGGCTGAAGTCTTTAAAACTGCCTCAGGAAACCTGTACAGGCATCAACTTCTCTCTTCTCCAATAGCAGCTCGCTCTAAGTCCTGCAAAAGCAACGGCTCATGGATCTCAGACTCCACAGAGTCCTCAACGGGAACCTACTCCGGTCAGATTGGTGTCTTTTTTAACTCTTAAAGTACAGAGGCATGTGTTTTTCTTTCTGAAACAAGTCCATTTCATGGATTGCTTTACAGTGTTGTTCATATGCCCCGAAATTTGACAGGCATATATCCACCAAGTCCAAAACTGTTGGTTGCGCCGATGCAAAATAATATTTTGAATCGAGCTTTCGTTTGGGTATTTTAAGCCTTCTCTGTTTGAAAAAGTTTCTCTTACGCCCAATGGTATAATAAAGTAAGCAGTGACTGCAATTTTTAGCAAAAGGACCAAATTAAAGACAGGTTATAAAAATGACTTCCTAAGTGCAATATCACTTTCATAACGTCTCAGCCAGGGATTTACTGGGAAGCGGTGAACCCAAATGGAACGGCTGGCAGCAAGTGCCAACAATTTATAGTCTTTTTTTTGTGGGTTTTTTTTTTTCTTTTTCTTTTCCAACTTTTTTTAATTTTTGTTTTGGTTGGTTGAGTTTTGATTTTGGTTTTGGTTCTCCAGCAATCGAGATCTTTCGATGCAGCCTCATTGCCCTGGTAAACCCCTGCGTACAAACAAGGCATCAGTACTTTTGCCTTCTAAGGCAGTCAAAGTTTGGGCTGGTTTTTCACTTTTTTTTTTTTTTTTTTTTAAATCTATTTGGAAATTGCAGTAGCAAGTGCTAGTGCCCATCGTGTTGGGGAAGAATCAAGTTTGGACAGTATTAGAAATTTATGTTTAAACTGATTTTGGCAGTTCTAACACAAACAGAAACATCCCTTCTTAGCAATACCCTTTAATGAACAAGGATCAGACAAGTGTGCATAAAGAAAGGAAAGGAAAGGAAAATGAAAGACCAAGCAGAAGGATGATGGCTACAACAGAGAAAGTAAGCCTAACATATTGGTGCACTGATGACAAAAGGAGTAATTCAGTCTGAAAATAAAAAATTACCACTGCTAAGTTTACCATCACCACAACAAGTCCAGGATCATAACGCTGTAAAAAAGAAACACCATTTGTTAGGCAGAAACCATTAGGGGCAGAAAATAGGCCGTTTGCAGTAGGCAGGTAGGATGGGTTAAAAAAAAAAAATTAAATTAATAAATAATAATAATGCGAGGCTTCTTCCTCACCCCTCCACCCCATCACCATGCTTTGCCCTATGGAATCAGGGAGCGGGGAGATTTTGAGCAGTTATTTGTTTTCAGAGCTGGACTTGAAACTTGGAAGTTTTGGGTGTTGGAAGAGGTTGAGCTCCCGGTGACGGCCCCGTTTCGGAGAGGCCCCTTCAAGCAGGCAGCTAAAAAGGACACGACTCAGGATCTTTAGGGAATCACAAATATTTTGAGTCAAAAGGAGCTCTGGTTTCAGGTAAGAGGCAGATATTCAATGCAAAAAGCAATGCCTTCGTTTTGAACTTAACCATCGTTTCACGACGAACGAAATTCCGCGGCAGCCGCCCGGCGTGCCATCCAGCTGCCGCGTGCCAAGGCCCAGCACTCGGGGCACGTAACGTGGCTACGGGCACCAGTGCCCGTCCCCACCACCCAAACCACGGCTCCATCCAGGGCAAAGCGCCGGGCAGTGGGTCACCGGGGCCGGGGCAGCCTCGCTCCGTGTCCTTGGAATGTCACTACGGCCAACGGAAAGAAACGGGCTCTGTGCTGCCGAAGGGGCACCTCTCGCCCCGCCGACTGCCAAGCGGGCCGGGCGGAAGATGGAGAACAGCCAAAGGAGAAAATGGGACTTTTTAAGTTAAGCTCTTTAAGTTCTCCTTTTCAAGAACTTCCTGAAGAAAATTTATTCCAGAGCTACTGTGCATGACAACGGGATCTTTACCAGCACGTAAACGTGGCTCTGGGATGTTGTGGGAC